GAAACCTGTAATTTTCTGAAACCTAATATCTTTAAGAACTGAACAAAATTTGCAAGTGTCATGCAAAAATTCTACTGTTGTCAATTTTCCCGTTTGTCCGTCACAGTGTCACTTTAACTGAACTCATAAAATGTAGTTAAGCAAGACATGAATTGATCCAAAAATATACAGAACAATCCATATATCGGTTATTTTTTGTGTATGTCAACATCACAACTTGAATTTACCCTGGTATCCGCCATGTTTACTCACCTGTTGATCGATTTTATTTTGGAACAACCAATGAGAATTCGGGATCTAGGGAGCGGATCTTTTAGGATATCCCTTAATTTAAACATAAATATCGCTGTGTATGAAAAAAATATCACATGGAATGCTTTTATTTATCGATGGTTAGTGATACCATACAACACAAAAATTTATAAACAACATTTACTTTATCAAGTGATTCTACTTTCAAGCGCAAGTCTCAGTACATCACGCGAGAACTGTCCTGGCTGCTGAGGAGAACAATTGGTAAACAAGCAGATTTATTTTACATGGTTTTCGCGTATAAAGGGCTATGTTGTTGACAGTGATTAACATTTCCGTCTTATTGGAAGTAAGTTGTATGTAAAAACAATTTTTGCCTGCAGTCGGCCGTATCTAAAAAATATATTTGCACCATTACGGAGATGCAGTGGAATTGTAGCCCTCTCCTGAAAATATCAGATATAAAAAAAATCGGAGAGGGCTACATTATTGCAGCTAGTATCTATGTTATGCCCCCAAAGGAACCAAGAATGGCAAATAAATACCATTCTATTCTATTCAAAGTCCAGTCCAGAGGAATTACAGAGAGAGTGGAATATAACAACAAAATTCTATCTTGCTATAAAAAGTTTAAAGTATAATTAAATTTATTCAGAGAGGGAGATGTAAATCAAATAGCACTCTAATCCCCTCCCTCCTCCCCTTTCCTTCTTAAATAACATTTGTTACAAGTGAATCTTTTATAACTTATCACTTACAGGAAAGTCCACGACGTAGTCACTGAACCACCGGGGGCGCTGTCGAATTCTTGTAGATCGTCTTGGCTCCATTCTATAATAATAAAAACATTATTACAAAACAAAGTTAATTTCCTTGAATTTCAATATACAGTAAAACAACTAATTAGCAAACACTTATTCCAATCACAACTTGAGAAAAAAAATCCCTACATTTTTGTAACACTGTAGGCAAAGGAATTATAAAGAGAAACGTATCAGAAACCCTTGGCTAGTGAAGATGTATACATTAGAAATGCAACATGAAAAGGAAATTGTATCTTGCTTCTTGTTTAAAAGATTAAGATAAAAGAGTAATAGTAAGGTCAAGGTCACAATTAAGGAAGGTTACGGTCAGAAAATTATGACACTTTTTAATAGCTCTCACAAATATATGTTAATAAAAGTATATGAAGTTTGATAAAAATATCTTCAATAGTTTCTTTGAAACTGATATTTAAATGCAACTAGTAAAGTCAAAGGTCACAAGGAAGGTCAAGGACAGGTAAAAAAAAATATGAACAGTTGACAAGTTTTCACAAATATCTAAATTTAAGAAAAATATAAGGGTCAAAGGAAAGGTCAAGGTCAAAATTTTTTTTTGTTGAGTCCCTCTCATCAAAATGTGTCAGCATATGAAGTTTGACATACCCCTTTTTAGCTCACCTGAGCTGAAAGCTCAAGTGAGCTTTTCTGATCACATTTTGTCTGTAGTCCGTCTAGCTGTCCGTCCATCTGTAAACTTTTCACATTTTCGACTTCTTCTCAAGAACCACTGGGCCAATTTCAACTAAACTTGCCACAAAGTATCCTTGGGTGAAGTGGATTCAAATTTGTTCAAAAAAAGGGCCATGCCCTCATTCAAGAGGAGATAATTCAGAAATAGTGAAAATTTGGTGGCATATTTTAAAAATTTTCTCCAGAACCACAGGCTCCAAAAAGTTGAAAGTTATAGGAAACCTTTATTATATAGTGTAGATTCAAGTTTGTTCAAATCATGACCCCTGGGGGTAGGGTGGGGCCACAATGGGAGATCAAAGTTTCCTATAGGAATATATAGGAAAATATCTTTAAAAATCTTCTTCTCAAGAACAGCAAAGCCATGATTGGTCATATTGATATGGAAGCATCCTCAGGTATTGTAGATTCAAATTTGTTCAAATCATGACTCACGGGGGTTGGGTGGGGTCACAATGGGGGATCAAAGTTTTACATTGAAATATATAGAAAAATATCTTTAAAAAAATCTTCTTTTCAAGAACAGCAAAGCCATGATTTGTCATATTAATATGGCAGCATCCTCAGGTATTGTAGGTTCAAGTTTTTTCAGTAGGTTCATGACCTCTGGGGTTAGGGTTGGGCCACAATGGGAGTTAAAAGTTTTACATAGGAATATATAGGAAAATACTTTAAAAAATATTTTTCTCAAGAACAACAAAGCCTTGTCTAGGCATATTGATAAATAAGCATCCTCAGGTAGTATAGATTCAAATTTGTTCAAATCATGACCCTGGGGGTAGGGTGGGGCCACAAGGGGGATCAAAGTTTTACATAAAAATATAGGAAAAAACTTTAAAAATCTTCTTCTCAAGAACAACAAAGCCATGTTTAGTCACTTTGATAAGGAAGCATTCTCAGATATTGTAGATTCAAATTTGTTCAAATCATGACCCCTGGGGGTAGGGTGGGGTCATAATGAGAGATCAAAGTTTTACATAGGAATATAAAGGAAAAAAATCTTTCTATCACGAACAGCAAAGCCATGTTTAGTCATATTGATATGGAAGCATCCTCGGGTAGTTTAAATTAAAGTTTATTCAAATGATTACCCCTGGGGGTAGGGAGGGACCACAATGGGGTGTCAAATTTTTACAAAGGAATACAAATATAGGAAAAAAATCTTTAAAAATCTTCTTCTCAAGAACAGCAAAGCCATTTGTTATATTGATATGGAAGCATCCTCACGTAGTTTAAAATTCAAGCCCCCCCCCCATCCCCGGTAAACTTTTCAATACCGAATTGATTTGTGCTTTTTCTTAGCCATTGTACTTGAGCGATGTGGCCCATGGGCCTTTTGTTTCTAAGCATAACCATTTTCTGTTGAAAATATTTGAAAAGATGGTTACTCTCCTCCCACACTTTTTGTTTCAGTACAGTCAAACCAGGGCAATGTGTAATGTAATTTCCAAGTCTGGACAATTTCCTTCTTTTCATTTTGCTTTTCAGTTTTTTTTTCAAGTAAGTTATCATAATTTTTCATTCCCTAACCCAAAATAGGTTTTTCATGTCTGGACAATTTTCCTTTTTTAATTTTTTGAAAATTTTTATTTTAAATTATTATTATTATTTTCATTGCTTTTCACAGTTTCATTAAATAAGTTTTCATATTTCTTCCTAGCTGCCCCCACCCTCCTGATACTACATGTGTCTGCATCTGAAAATGCAACTCTAGAATAATTATGCACGGCACTACGTGGCCAATGATGACTTTCGTTATTATTGGTTATAAAACAAACATGTTTTGGACACCTGAAATTTATTTAGAATGGAAGAAGAAATTTACATCCCCCAAGAGCATGCACAGTCTTTATGCATGAAGACATTTCCCGCTATAATTGCACCTTTACTTAAACCGTATAAAGCACACAAAACTAATAAATAACTTTGTTGTACCTTTAAAAATTAGTTTCTATGTAAATCTATACTAAAAAAAGTCTGACATTTCAATGTTTTACTGAGCGGGCATAAAAAAATCAATGTTTGCCCGCAGATCAAGATATTGGACCTGTCAGCAAGATATTGGACCGCTGTGGGGGGTATTTTACATCACGCTTACGCAGCTATGTTAAGGCTTCCTGAAGCTTTAAAATACGCTCAAAACATAATATGTCATTGCGAGGTCGGTTTTGGTTTTAATTTATAAATAATGAACTTTAGTACTTCCAATTTATATAAAGGGTTTCTTCGGCTATATATTAACATATTTGTTATGATATCACATGACTCTGTTGATCACGTGACGGTCATTTATAATTTTTTGAAGTGTTTCATATAAATCGCTTCTGCGCAGCTGATTAACATGATAATTATTAACATTTTGTTATATAAATAAACTCATCGTATTCTTGTTTATTCGAAATGTGCTTGGGAAAAGTCACGGTATTACTTGGGTACAAAATATTTCCTGAGAAATTCAACTTACCTACAAATTTGAGGGTATTTTCCACACAATATCGTAATGTGTATTAAAACAAAGCCAATACACATTTTTCCCAAGCAAGATTCAGTTAAAGAAGAACCTCCTCTTACAGATTTTCTCAAAAATTCTCAGATTAATCCTCATTAATCACCTGTGCCAGACTCTTTTATACACACAAAATAAATTCTACCTCCAACCACGGGTATAAAACAGAGTACATTTCAAAAGTATATTTTTCATAAGCATTTTAAACATGCTGAATTTCAATCAAGGGTAGGTAAGCGTTGTATTTTTAAAATATTTGGACATAATTAAGACTTAAAAAACCTTTAATGACCCGTGAATTTTGCAAAAGCTATCTAGCATTTTACATGCAGTTTGAAATAAAGTGTAAAGTTCATGACACTCTCCCCGACATAACACCTCAAGTTTGCAGTGACTTGACGTCATTTTCCATTATGACGTCATATTTTGGTAGTTCAGAGATGTGAAGGCACAGAGTGCACTGTTATATCCTATGGGAAGCCTTAACCTACCTGCGTAATTTGCATTCGTTATTATCCGCAGTTTCGGCGGAATTATACAACACGAGTCCATTTGTATTCGACAGTTACGAAACTGACCGAGTTAAATCCGCATTGCGGATAATTGAAATTAACATTCAAATTTTGTCATCTGCATCGCAATCATGGAAGGAAATGGAAGGTTTGCTTCATATAATGACGAAGAAATTGAAAACATAATGGAAAAAGGAATAGCAGCAATATGAAAAATGTGGTGAAAGTGGCTGAAAGAATTTTGTCGGAATACCTAGCCCACAAGTACGAATCCACCGTTGAAATTTTTTTTAATGGAAAAAGCAGGAACGAAGCTGCCGAATTTCTGAAAAAATTTTATTGTGAAGTTCGAAAAAGAGATGGGACAATATATGCGAGATCTACAATGATAGCAATGTGATTTGGATAACAGAGAGTTTTTCTAAAATCTTACAAGTGGGACATCATAAATGACAGTGATTTTAAAGGTGCTAACAACATGTTCAGTGCTTGTTTGATGAAAATAAAGAAGGAAGGTATCCAAACAGAACATAAAACACTGATTTCTGATGCTGATATGAAAAAACTTTACAAATCTAATGTATTTGATACAACTACACCCAGAACTTTACAACAAATGGTATTTTTTGAAATCATGATGTTTTTTTGCAATCGGGGACGACAGAATCTACGCAATATGAAACCAACGGATTTCCAAATTTGTGCAGATTCGGAGGGGAGGAGATATGTCGGAAGCAATGTGTCCAGGCTTACTAAAAATCATCGTGAAGCTATAGGAGACCATGACAATACGGCTGCTAGAATGTACGAAAAACCCGGTAAGTTTTTTTTTTTTAACTTGGGTTGGAACTGTATCAAAGGCCCCTATAATTCTTAACGTTTAATTTCAAATAAACTGATAAAACCTACCCACTCTTTATCAAAACATGTAAATATATAACTTGCATTTTTGTACAAAAGGGGGGGGGGTAATCTAGGGCTTTTTTATAAAACAAAAAATCAGGTGCCTGTGACTTTATTCAACCACGTATATTTTCATTATAAAAACAGTTAATTGAGGCATTGTTTAATTACAGGTAATCCAGCATGTCCCGTCAGCAGTTTTGAGAAGTACATATCGAAGCTAAATCCAGCATGTGAGTTTCTCTGAAAAAATGTGGCAGATCAAGCAGGAGTCAGACAACATGGTTGTGGGAAAAAATACTCTTGGGCTGTATGATGGCGACAATAAGTAAAGATGCCAACTTATCTTTTGTTTACACTAATCACTGCATCAGGGTCACGCGTATTACCTTACTTGACGAGAGCAGATATGAGGGTAGACACATCATCGGAATATCTAAACATAAGTCAGAGACGAGTCTAAAGCATTATTCTTCACATCTCAGTGAAAATAAGATCCATGGCATGTCCAACGCTTTGTCCGAAAAAATTCTTCCCCAGACTGTGACAGTCACCGAGAAAACAACACTCACAGAGCAGACAACTTCGGAAGAATCTGTGTTAAGTTTGAGTGACCTTGATTTATTAGAAATACCAATGCTGCCTACAAACCTCGAATCCCCATATGAGAAAAATGCTCAAAAACAAGACTTTAATTCGTGCAACTTCAACCAGTGTACCATTGTCTTTAACAAATACACAAACTAAGTTAGTTTCATTATGTGTTCATAATTCTGAGTACTTTTTTTCACCTGTTTAAAATAAAGTTTAATGGCAAGTAAATTGTGCTTTATTTATTAAATATGTTGTAATAAAAAGTGAAAGGTATAACAAAACATTTATTGACTGGTTTCTCGGGCAAAATGCGTTTTGTCGGACCCTCGAACCAAACTGTTGCCTTCGGCCTAACGACCTCAGGCAACAGTTTGGTTCTTGGGTCCGACAAAACGCATGTTGCTCTCGAACCCAGTCAATAAATGTATAATATGCATGTTTTGTCGATTTCCGTAAAGCTTTTGACACTGTCTTACATGATGGTGTAAAGTTAAAACTGCTGAAAAAATGGGAGTCGGAAGTAAATTAATAATTTAACTCTTTCCCCCTCACAAGCGCCTCTCGACGCCTAGCCAGGATTTCTGCACAAGCGTCTCTCGACGCCCATCCATGATTACCGCACTAGTGTCTCTCGACGCCTATACAGAATTTCCGCACAAGCGCCTTTCGACGTCTTGTTATTTTAAGACTATGTGAAAACGAGACTATGACGTCGGCAACTTTGGGGCAGGTATCAAATTGAAGCGTTATTATTGGCCTACAAAAATAAAGTATGTGCACTGTCATCAATTCACGTGTACCTATAAATAAAGATGGTTTTTACCTTGTATGGTAGGAAAAACAAAAGTTGTGAATTCAAAATGGCGGATTACGAACAATGTACGGTGAGATTATTTCTATTCACGCGACGATTTAGATAAACTTTATGGGTTTTAGGATGCTGAATCGAATACATATATTCATAAAGAATTCATTTGTGCAGAAAAAATTAATTTGGAACATTATAATTGGCCAGAAAACCTTCGACATTTCATGGCGTGCGAGTTGAAAGTCACATGGCCAGTATTCTGGAGCCGATTTTTGTGTAAAAACAACTGCAACAAAAGATTTCTTGGGTGATATGTTTTATCCAAACATTATTATAGACTATGTGCATCACAAAAGTAAAAGTGCATGGCGAATAAATGCATAGAAGAGAAAGGAAGACCGTGTCTGGTACAAAATCACTGAAGCAGAAAAGAAGGCTTACTTGGCCAAAAAAAAAAAAATTAAAAAGATTATCCATTTGTGTAAACTTCGCAGTGTGCATCTATGCAAAATGTGGATCTTTTCACATACCAAAATAGACATTGAAACCTTTTTATTGACTGTAAAATGATTAAATTCTAAATATTTCGTCATGAAAAATGTGTGTATATACACTGACTCTTGACATTTACCAAACTTTTTCTTAGTTTAAAAATAAAGGATTGGCTTTAAATTATCATCATTGTAAAGATGAGATTGTGCTGAAAATAAAAATACTTGGTTTTATATATTTTTACCCAATAATTTGAGAGTAATAAGAATAAATATAAAGCACTGTGATTTTTTTCTTTATTTCTGAAAATGCCTGAGTAAATGGGGTTATCACTGATGCTAGACTGCTGTGGAGATAAGGCTGCAGCAGTGGCTTGCTACGGGAGTATACAGTAATGCCTTATCTTCAAAGCTCTGAGGGGGAAAGAGTTAATCAAAAATATGTATTCCAAAAGCAGGTCACATATTCATATTATTTAATAAAACCTTTCTATACTCAACTGGGTGTAAGACAAGGGGACAATCTGAGCCCAAATTTATTTAAATATTTATTAATGATCTACAAAGTATGCTGTCTAGTACACTGGACCCTGGTACACTTAATAATTTAGAAATACATTGTCTATTGTATGCTGATGATGTTGTACTGTTATCAACCTCAGACAATGGTCTTCAACAAAAGCTAAATGCATTAGATGAATTTTGTCAAAAATGGTGTTTAAGTGTGAATGTTGATAAAACAAGTCTTAGTTTTTAATTTAAAATCTGGTAAACTGTTGAAGAATTAATTTTTATTGAATAATAGTATACTCGAAAATGTTACCAATTATAAATATCTTGGTGTTTATTACACTGCATCAGGTACTTTTTCGTAGGCTAAAGATGCATTGTACAAAAAAAGTTTGATTCAGAAATGTTATTTTAAGTTATGTAAAGATATTTTAGCATTTCATCCTTTTGTTAAAACTAGTCTACATATTTTTGACCATACATTTAAGCCAATACTGTTATATGGCAGCAAAATATGGGATGTTTTTAATCCTCATTCACCCAGGGTTCGACACTAAGTTTTTAAGGCTTTAGTCCAGCCGGACTAGTGCTTCCTTACTTTTACTAGTCCGCACGCGATTTTATTAGTCCGTCAAAAAAAAAAAAAAAAAAAGAAACATCAATGTTTTTTAACATTAATTTAACGTGACAATTAATATACATTATTTTTTTGAAATAAACAAAGTATTTACGTGAAATATATTATTCCACAGATTCATTGAAATCTCGCAATCAGCAAGTACGATCGTATTCCCGATCTCGTTCTTTTTTTTTTTTTTTTTTTTTTGCCTTTACATACATCCAAACGTCCAATATCTTTCTTAAAAGTGTCACACTAAATCATGATCGCTAAAACCTTATACTTCGTATCGATCAGTAAAAAAAATTAGGCGCTGAATTGACCCGGCATTGCGCAACTACCCGCCAAAAGCTAGAAATCTAAAAATACACGCGGGGTTTTTCAGTAAAAGTTGTCGAGAATCGGATATCGGTAATTTATTCATATTGTTTTTCAGAAATTTTTATTGGTCCGTTCGGACTAATTAGCCATATATTTTATTAGTCCGAATGAAAATGTATTAGTCTGAGACTAACGGACTAACGTTAGTGTCGAAACCCTGTCACCACGATTCAGAAATGGTATCTCAGTTGACAATGTGTATAATTTTTCACAGGGTTGGCCGGGAAATACCAGTGGTGGGAATTACCAGTGGTAAATACCGGTATTTCCCATCCCGGGAAATACTACAAATTTTCTCTAAACTGGGAAATATTGGGAAATACACATGTACTGGGAAATACAAAGTTAAAGTTTTTTTTATTTCTTTAATTCATTCAATCTTATACAAAATTCAAAAATAAAATTATAAATATAAAAACAGAAGATGATAATATTGAATATGAATGTATCACTACTCTAGGTCCCATATCCATAAGCATTTTGAAACATTAATTTTCCTTGCTGTATAAAACTGAAGTTTTCCAATTCAAGTTGCGATATATCAATCTTTTCAGTTTTGTAAAATTATTATTATAAGTTTATTAATTATAAATCCAAGAACAAAACAAACTTGTTTTAATCCTTCTATAAACACTGTAGTTATTACAAACAATCATGTTGTTTTAACAAATTGCTCTGGACAGTTTTGTGCTCCTGTTTTGAGATATAATTACCTTGAGTAGAACTGAAAGAGGGCTTCTTAGGTTTGTTACTTAAACTACACTCTACATTTAAGAATTTTCTTATATCCTTCTTTAGTTACATAAAAAACCCTTTTGGGATCTTTGGGTTCATTTCATGGACCTTTATTGACTACATCGGACTCAAGCATGAAACACATGACACTCATGACTGGTATATGAATATACTGTGTTATGATTATATAAAATGAATAACTTTTTAAATCAGGGACAGTGATATCTGAGGTAAATATCTTAGCCAGTAAGGTGTACTACATGTCAATATGAATAAAATATGGAGCTATTTCTTATTTCCCAGTATTTCCCGGGAAATACAAGTAATTCCCGGTAATTACCAGTATTTCCCACCGTCCTGGGAAATATGAGTATTTCCCAGTTTTTTGCCAACCCTGATTTTTCTTTCAGAACCTGACAAGCTACACTTGAAGTTTTGTAAATTTATATTGGGTGTTCATAAGAATTAGTGCAAATTTTTTAGTAATGTCAGAATGTGGTAGATTTCCATATTATATTGATATCATAAAAATCAATGTTATTATATTGGCATAGATTGGAAAATTCTGAAAACAATTCTCCTCTGTACAATGCTTTTATTAATTCCAAAACACTTAGTACAAGTCATCGTCTCAAACCACAGCCAAAATGTACGATCCTCTCCCATTTTGGCCGTGGTTGAATGAGAAGAGAATATTTCGTAGCTCATTAAAATATTGACCAATGCAAGTAAAGCATAGTCGGATAATGGACTTTGACGCGACCTTTCATTACCCAATCGCAGTTTATGGAACATTTTTTGTATAATGTTGATGTCTATTGTTGATTTTGATGGAAACAAATATTGTCATTGGCTGAACATGACGTCACAATATAGGGGCGTAAATATTCAAGATAACGACACTTTTTGTGATCAAGTAGCCATGGGTAGGAGAGAGCTATATGCAGACTCCGGACCGTGGCTTGAGACGATGAGTACAAATAGAGACTCCTGGTTCTCTTGTATACTTGAATTTTTGAAAATTTTAGAAATATCAAAAAATGCCTCCTCTTTGAGTCTATCTAAATTCCAAATTGTCATCAATAATCAAATCCTCAAAAAATTTATTTGCTCTTGGTTCAACGCTAAAGAAAAAAATTCTCCTGGAAAATTGGATTCTTATGTAAAGCTGAAAAGTAATTTCCAATGTGAAGAATATTTAACATTCCTGGAGAAATTTGACTTTAGAAGGGAAATAACAGATTAAGAATATCTTCTCACAGGCTTAAAATTTAAACTGGTAGATATATTGGACTAGAAAGAGATAAAAGAATATGTGAAAAATGTAATTTGAATGTAGGGCCAAAATAAAGAATAGGTTTGTTTCCCCTAACGCGACCGACCCACTTAAATCGTGCTGACTGAAAAGTTTTTATAATAAGATTATTCAAATATTTATTTTTATTGTTTATCAAGTTCATAAAGTACAATTTCATCAAAATTCGTTTTTTATCAGAATGGCGGCTTTTGTTTTACTCTCATTTGGCGCCCACAACATGTGGTCACAGAGGGTTATTTAGTGTTATAAAACAACGGCGATGTATCAATCTTAATAGACATCT